GCATTTGCACACACAAGCACGCATCACTTCTACCTCTGCCCTTCTTATATCCTTTACATCGTTCTCAACAGTGATGGGCATTCGTAAGTTTAGGTGAAAAGTAATTTTGTTTAACTAAGATACATATTAACATGCATTTCGGCTGCGCCCAAGCGTATCAAACAAGCGACAAAAAAAACGACAGCACTATTTTATAGTCCTAATGGGTCTGTTGACCCTACAATCTTGAAAAATCGCTCAAGATCAATAGCACCTATTGTGTGACAGCTCTAAATCAAATACAAACAGTGGGCGACACACCCGGAAATAACATAAAGCGGCAATGATGGTGAACAATTGTCAAAAAATGACCACGTAGCTGACATCTAAACTTGGAGCTTTTTTTCTTACCGGGGTAGAAGGAGCGTGTAGAGCATCTACAATGCGGTATCAACAGCACAAAGTCAAGCCTTTGTGATGAAACAAGCTTACATTGACGCACCTTTTCTTGTCACTGAAGCATCAGGGCATCACCTCCAAAACATTTCTTGGTGGTAAAAGTTAGCTTTAAAGAAGCGATACAGTCTATCGCTGACAGTGAAGTAGCCATTTGTTGTGAGAATCATCGACCAAACGATATCAACATCGAGGTTGGACCGGCGTCTGATACTTAGTATATGATGCCTGTTCAGACCCTACGCGGCCAAAAGACAATCAATTTTTAACTTGGTTGGACTTCGCCGATAAATGCAGCCCATTAGAATTCTAGCGAGATGTTAAGGTGATGTGATTATTTACATGCACCAGGAACCACGAGAGATTTCTGCACCTGAGTTGAAATATTAATCAAACATAGTTTAAAACTTATCACGCCACCCATTTTAAAAAATGATACTTAACAATACTGGAACTGTAAAAACTACTAGAATTATACTGCTCCGTGAGCACAATAAACTTGTGGCTCAGCATGTATAAGGCGGTAAGCACATGTATGTGCATGAAGAGATGTCACAACGTGTTGTTTAATCCTCGCCGTTTCAGTCGGTATATTTGGACAGCCGCTCTGTTCCGGCAGAGTGTTGGCCGACCATAAAAAATTTTTACCTTCAAATAACGTGTCTAATGATCTCGACATTGTGGTAGAGAAGAAAAGGGTGTTGTGGACTGCCTGAGCGAGAAGGTGTTGAAGTAGCGTCACGTAATGAGAGCTGGACGAGCCAACTGACTCGACGAATGATGACTGGGATTTGTATGGCAAAATCTAATTGGTTGATAATGGAGTGAGTGCCGGATGTGATTGGATCACATCCAGAACTTCTTTCTCGCGACTTTCATCTTGTCGGGTCGTCGCAGGGAGAAGCTCGATAGCGGCTGCTACCAAGGAACAGGGAACAAGAAGGGCACACAGGAAGGAAATTACAGATATGTAGGAAGGGTAGATTGTGAAGCTGCTAATAACTCACTTTAGAATTCGCCTTCCACTACTCAACAGGTTAACAGCCGCAAAAGACTCTCAAGCTACAAGACGCTGCCTCGATGTCGACGAAGAAGGCCGAAGTCCTCCTGGGAAGCGACAACTATTTCCACTGGGAGTTTGCCATGCGCATGACGCTGGCGAGGAAGGGACCGCTGGCTCATGTGCAGACGGTGAAGCCGGAAGCAGAGATGACGGAGGCGTGGCTGCTGAACGACATGAAGGCGCTCGGTTTGATCGCCCAGGGCGTGTCGTTGGAGCACCAGACGAAGCTTCGTTCGACGACCTCGGCAATTCAAGCGTGGGAACTCTGGGGGCATTCCATGACCGGACCACGATGCACAACCGAGTAATGATGACTCGCCGACTTCATGAATTCAAGATGGAGAAAGGGGGGACGATGGCGAAGCACCTCGACAAATTCGACAAGCTCATCGTGGGTCTCCAATCGCTCGGCGAACCATTGGACGATGTACGTCAGTTGGTTAAATTGC